ATTTTATTTAATTAGAGGGGAATTGTTGTTTTTTTAATTGAGATACTAAATTCAAGCCCATATGAGTTCGGTTTGCTAATGTAACGAACCAAATCGAACACGTATTTTTGTTCATAAACTAATGAAGCTCGACTTGAGCTCGAGCAATATTAGAAATTATGATTAATTATATAGAAAAATCAAGCTACTCAAGCTCGATTAAAGCTTGACTTGATAGCTTATCAAACCAAAGCTAAAACACATTTTTTTACAGACAGGGCCACAACACCAATATATAACCACGGTACGAAGCAATAATCTTGACGAAGGAAATGTTTACAAAGACTATATATAGAAAATAAGGTTGATATTTTCATGTCTCGGAATACATAAAGTAACTTTTCGAGCAAAACGGAAGCAGACGAATTATAAACATTTGCAACAAAGTTATATATAAATATTTCTTGAGTTTCATCAAAGAAAAGAAAATATACAAACGGACCATCAAATTTTTTTCGCCTTCAATTCACCACCCCCTTTTATTACATCCTCGAATAGCCTTTGTGGTCTTCGTATTGCTCCATGAACTCATCGTTGAATTTCTTGAAACTGTCCATAATTGCAGGCATGTCTTCCTCAGCTGGTAATATGGTGGTTCTCAAGTGGAAAACCCTACATCATCAAATTATAATCAATTAAAAATGGCTCGAAAATATTGATTTTTTCACAATATATATTTATATAACATGAATATATATGCATACCCTTCTTTCTGACCAAATCCAGAACCTGGGACAGTGGAAATTCCGGTAGCTTCTAGAAGCTTCAGACAGTAGAAAACATCGGCTACTTTTCCAGCTTTTTGGGCAGCCTCGATTGCTTTTGGTGGTAAGCGTATTTGTGGGAACGAATACATAGCACCTGAAGAAAAGAGAAGAAAAAAAAACATTCTTGAAATGAATAAATAAACTCGAGATAAAGCACAAGAATCTTTGAAAATTATTCCATAGAATCTTTTCGACATGGGGAAAGTAAGTACCTTCTGTGAAATTGCAAACCACGTTTCTACAGCTATTGAACCCATCGGTCATTAGCTGCGCCCTCCTTCTCAAAGACTCGAGTATACCTTTGCTGCAGTGATATATCAAGAGAAGCAACTAAGTACTCGAGTTTTATTGACGAAAATTCCCATTTAATTAAAAAGATTCCAAGTATTCGTCGAAACGATGTTGTAGGATATAATATAGTATGATGCACAACAGTCATACATACCTCTCTCTGATAAATCTTTCATACGATATATCTCCCGGTTTTGGAGGGTTGACCATGAGTCCCATCTGCAAATCGAAACACGCAAAATTATACGCTAGTTTAATTAATACACACAAATACAAATTCCGTGACGTACAAATATTTGTGCAGGAACATTCGGACTCAGTGCTATGGAAGCAACTTTGTATATCTCCTCCACTGCCTGCAATATCATAATAACAGTTACAATAAAAGTGCGTTAGATAAAATGCAATCTTTACAATCGTAAACTATGACTTTCTGGTTACGTATTTTGACACCATAAACATAAATAATAAATTTATTGCAATATTTAGATTCCTCGTAATTCGTGAAAGAACGGACCTTGGGAGGAATATTAGTCATCTCGAAGTATCCGCCACGCTGTCCACATTCTCCCCAGTAACCTTTCGAGACAGTGTGGAAAGAAACGAGCTGGAGCTCTTTATTTATGGGTGCACCCATGTCCATCAGAACCTTCAAAATTGTTGCAGACGATTTTTTTTGCATTTATGTACTAAATATCCATGAAAATTATAGAGACAGAGTGAAGTTGTATGTATACCTTCCTTGCACTTATAAAGGGGCGCTCGTCTTGGTAAATATTCTGCTGGTAAACTTCGTCACCGAGCAAAACCACGTTGTTTTGGTAACAGAATCTCAGTATCTCTTTCAGATTCGCTTCGCTAAGGCACTGTCCAGTAGGGTTTCCAGGGTTTATAATCACCATGGCTCGTACCTTTTCGTCACAAATGCATAGATACAATTTAATGCACAGCTCGTTACATACACACATATATATTAATATATATGTCATACGTATATATATATATATATATATATATATATATATATATCATGCTTACAGTTATTCCTTGAGAGCGAGCCTGAGCGACTGATTGGCGAAGGTTAACAATATCGAGACCCCAGTTTGCAGTTTCTTCAAGATAATACGGAACGAGCGAACCACCGAGCAAAGCTATAGTAGCTGAGTAAAGTGGATATTGTGGGACCGGAACCAATATCTGATTAAAAAAATAAAAATTAATATCATTGTTCAATTTCAGACAAGAAATCCTAACGCGAGAAAAATTAAATTAACGTTACCCCATCGCTCGATCCACGGATAATAGTGTTCAATATCTGCATCACTCCTTTGCTAGCACCGTCTGTTAAAAATATGAGCTCTGGATCACTGCCATTAATGCAAACTGTTAGAAGAATCGATTCAAGAATCGAAATGTACAAAACAATCATAGAATTAAACAATCATTTTTTAACCTAGGATATCCATCACGCCTCTCGATGAACTCTGCTACTTCTTTCCTTACTCCAGGCAGACCACGCGAATCACTGTAAGCACCTGATCATTTAACAAACGATTATTCATTTTTTTATTTATTTTTTTATTTTTTTCGTGTTGAAGATTCTACATTACTTTTAAGGGGAATTTATTACGAGAAAATCGTTTACCTAGACCCCCCGAAGTCAGTGAAAGATAATGTTTAGCTTTCGCAATAGCATCAGCGGGAAATAGAAGCCCTACATTCGGATCGTCCAGCATAAACGGAGCTTGGCAGAGAGCAACCACCTGGACACGTTATTTTATCTTACATTAATTACGACAGAAAAAAAAATGGAAAAAAATAGTATTTGCACGAAGGAAGAAGTGTCGAAGAACCTGGCGAGGAAACGTCAGAGGTTTCTGTCCTAGTGCGTGCGGATTGCCGACATTCGTAAAGATGATCTGTCATCAAATATTATAATATTATAAGATGACCAGTTCGTTGACGACAATTGGATGAAAAATCATAGGTTTGAAAATCAGATGGTTATAATATTCATGAATATTGTACGGAATTGTTATTATTCTTTACATGGCGGAATATACCTTCTTCCCCTCCTTTTGAAGCTCAGAAGCACGAAGATACAGCTCACCTCGGACAGCATACTGACATTTCTTGACGTTTTCGTTCAAATTTTCGTAATCCATTGCCTTTGCCATGACGAACTACGTGTTTCTCTAGCACTCGAAACGACAAAAAAATGTATGCCAATTACAAGACTTAGAACCTAATTAGGTCCCAACCTGAGAAGTGAAGAAAATAAATTTATATAATTAGGCTACAATAAATTCAGATAAGTAAGAAAGTGATTATGCAAGAACACATTAAGAGCATAATTCTTGTAATTACTCCGACTGAACTGAAAAACGGGACGCCTAGTTTTAACAGTTTCGCATGAACTACTCCTTTTTTTTTTTTTTCTAAACTCACTAACCAGATTCAGATATCGTAATCCAACTAATATTCAGGTGTTGAGAAATCGAACGTAAAACAAATGATTCATATACAGTCAATCAAGAAAACAAAAATGAACTAAAACTAAAACTAAAACTAAAACTAAAACTAAAATCCTGGATTTATTATTACATGGGGGGACACAAACATCCAAACCAAAGTCTACATTCTTACCTAAGCCTTTGAATTGAAGGGTTATTCAAAAGTCAATACTCTGATGATGCAATAAAATCAAGAATGGTTTTAAAATAAACGATTTTTTTTCGGCATCAAAATTATCAAAATCAAGCAGCTCCTTCAGGATATTCTTTGTAATCAAATATGCAGGAACGAGAAACATACCTTATACCCAAAATGCTAATGATTATTAGCAAAAAATAAACCAATTAAAGAAAATAATGATAATGCAACACTCAAGATCCTTGAACAATAATTTCACATAATCGCAGAAACCCGGAAACGGAGAATCAAAAAAGAAGAGTTTCAGAGACAACCCATTGAGAAATTGAATGGATAAAAACACAATCTTTAAACGCAAATCGAGTCTACTTTCCAATAAAATCCCACATTAATTAACCACTAATAAAACACTTAATTAGCAAGAAGGGAAAGCTCACACTCACTGCTGGTAAAGAAGAAGCCTCTGCTCAGGTGGGCTCTCTTCCCACTTCAAAAGCCCATTCAATGTAGCAAAGAATCTTTTTTTTTTCCTCTTTTTTCTTTTTTCAATTTTGATTTTTTGTTGAGGCAAAAGAGGATATTATTATTACATTTATGTATATGTGGCAAAGAACATAAATTCTCAAGGCAAAAAAACCACAGCCACTGAAGAGAGCAGTGGATGGATTAAGTGGAAATTGTTTTGGGCCTTGTTTGGATTTTAGGATAATGGAGTTTGTGAGAAGAGTGGCTCTGCTTTAAACTGACAGTTCTAACTTCTAAGGGGTGTTTTCTGATTTTAGTTGGATTTTTCAATTTTTTTGTGCCCCAAGTATTATTTTTGTGGCTTTCATTCTCTGTCCAATCTCAATTTTTTTTTTGAAGTCACGTGATTTTTCTTTCTTTTATTTGCTAATAAATGGAACATCTCTTGGTCTTTGGTTTGACAACATATTAATGCATCATAAATCTTTCAGTCTTCTTACAAGTCATGGTGTCAAATTCGACAAATCTGCTAGTCTTGTACTCGTATTGTGTAAAAATGCAGTTTATGATGGTCTATGATCACCCTGCTTGAAAATATGGAGCTCGAATGGAGTAAAGCGGCTAAAATCTGGAAAATATTCCACATAATCTAGAAAATTCCACTAAATTTAACATCGCAAGAGTAGACATTTAAGAAAATTTATAGTTGAGGGGAGTGGTTATAATTACCCAAACATAAGAGGTTTATTTCATAATTTGACCTTACCTAAGGGAAGTGGTTGTAATTACCCAAACATAAGCCGGTTTATTTCGTAATTTGACTTTACCTGCTGGAGTGAGGGAATGGTGGTAGTTTGATTCTTGAATCATCTTTCTTGCAGAAACTGAAACACAACATACATACATTGATGGAAGGAAGCAGCAGTATTGTAATAGTGCTACTTGTGTTTCTGTTACTTATTAATGTTCCTTCAGGCAGTGTAGCTGTTGCATCATCATCAGGTGAATTTCAATTTATTTGCTTAAATAACTTTATATATATATATATATAAGGCTAAGTACTATTAATTTAAATGTTTTATTATTACAAGCTGAAGAGAGAAGAACAAGAAGAACTCCATTGTGTCCAAACGATTTCAACGGCGGCCTGAACAGAAAGCCCGGCGTCGAAAGAGTCGGGCTACCGCCTCCACCACCACCTATATTCAGAATACCAAATCACTGGCGGTTTGTTCTATCGTCACCGCCTCCTCCGCCGCCAGTATATGCTTAGTACTTGGCTGTGATCGACTACTTGTATGAATATATTCTGTTATTGTATACTGTTTGCCTTGATTCTAAGTTGAGAATGCAATATTAGTCTCTGAACTAATATGATTGTTCGTTACGGTTTTAAAGATTTAATTCATGTGATTAACCATTCGTTATTATAATAGGTTTTAATCATCAATTCGATCGTGTTGTGAACATCGACAAGACTTTTTCGTATTACTATATATAGAGTAACTTGTAATTCTGAGTTCTACTGGATTAAGGTCTTAGGTAACATCAATGTAATACAAAAATTTTCGGATAAATTGAAGTAATACTTCACAGCTTTGTGAATGACAAAATCGAAGAGGCTCGTGTGTGTGTATATATATATATAAATATATGTATACGACTCCGTTGATTGTGCTTTCTTCAAAGGCTAAATCATGTCTCGTACGAAATATTTCCCTCGTCTATTTCTCCTTCAACTATTCTTGATAATTAAAACCTCTGTTTCGCACAAAAACGCGTACACTTTTCCTTGCTCCGACACGGTTTACTCATGCAATGCTCTTCTTTACCAGCACAACGGTTTTCAGAAAGATCAAATCGCCTCGTTGTACAATGTAAACGCCTCACAAATCGAGCCCATAAGCGAACGAGACTACCTAGTACCGGTGAACTGTTCGTGCAAGAACATTGACGGTGGTGTGTCTGGATACTTCTACGATGTAGTTTACAAGCCTAGATCAAACGATACTTTTTACGACGTGTCGAAGAATAATTTCAGCGGCCAAGTTTGGGAGGGAGTGAAGGACACGAATTTTACGGTCGGAGTCGATATAACTCTGCATCTCTTGTGCGGCTGTGTCGATGATAATATTAATAATAACAACAATAATAATAATAGTAGTAACGTGGTGACGTATACAGTTCAGGCCCACGATACTATCTCCTCGATTGCAGCTCTACTTTCTTCGGAAGTCGATAGAATCGAGGATTTGAACACGTATTTGGCTCCAAATCCATCTTATTTAGAACAAGGGTGGCTCCTTTATGTACCCATGGATATATAAAAATGGTTGACCATATTAAAATTGTACGATTTTCGATGTAGTTTCAAGAAAAGAAAAAAAAACAAGACGATGTAATAAGATCTTTCGTGTTTCTTTCAACAACAATTGAACAGACAGAATCATAGCCAACCAGATGCAAATTCAAGAACTACTGTAATATATAGTGCTAGTTCTGTTTCTGATAGTTTAATGGTCCTTAGCATCATCATGTAATAAAAAAATTATTCGGACAAGTCGATTTCGTTTCGTAATAATCTTGTCTCGTCTATACAACTTCACATAGTGACATATAACACACATATAAATAATAATAACCCCTCAGCCAGACCAGGTCTATTAATTATATTGTTTTCTCAGCCGGCTGAGGTAGCTAGCGAAACTTTGTTTATTATCCATCGTATTTGCAACAAATGTAGCTTCATAAATATCAACTGTATTGCATGACAGCAAAGTCAACAGTAGACACGGTGTCGCAGTCGTATATTTTTTTATTTTTTTTGGATTAGTACATACATTAACGAAGTTAACTACAGAATTTCTCAATGTTCTTGTGGACAAATTAGTAGGGATGATCTTGTCGACGCTGGTATTTTTTATTTTTTTTAATCATGTTGTCCTAAAATTTACGACATATAATTCAGTTGTGTGACAGAAGTTATGCTCGATCGAGCAGCATTGAGCTCATCTCGTATATACTACGATGATTGACAGATAATTTAATTGGCTTGATTTACAACGTAGTAATTAATATTTGATGTGTTGTGAACATCGACAACGTTTTTTGTTACTGTAATAGAATATGAACTTCTGAATTCTACTGGAGCTTTGTCTTAGGTAACAGCAATATAATATAATATATATAAAACATTCGAATATTATAAATTTCTTGAAACGGCTATCGTCGAAAAAAAGAGGTATAGAATAATGGTAATAAAACCAACAAACATGTAATGACGAAAATCGAAGAAGCCTTCGTAGCTTCATTCCCTTTATTGTGCTTTCTTCCGATCCTTTTTCTCGTAATCCTCATTTAGCCTTAAATCATGTCTCGTCTGAAACGTATCCCTCTTCTAATATTTCTCGTTCGACTATTCTTGATCATCGAGCCGTCTCGTTCGGACAAAAACGTCTACACTTTCCCTTGTTCAGACAAGATCCAATCATGCAACGCTCTTCTCTACCAGCACAACGGTTTTCCGAAAGATCAAATCGCCTCTTTGTACTCGGTCAACGCCTCGCAGATCACGCCCGTAAACAAACAAGACTACCTAGTATCGGTCAACTGCTCATGCAAGAACATCGAGCGCACACTCGGATATTTCTACGACGTAGTTTACAAGCCGAGATCAAACGACAGCTTATACGATGTGTCGAGAAATAATTTCAGCGGCCAAGTTTGGGAAGGAGTGAAAGACACAAATCTCACCTTCGGAGTTGACAAAACTCTGCATCTACTGTGTGGCTGTGTTGATAACGACTCGGAAGTTGTTGTTACGTATACGGTTCAAGCCCACGATACGATCTCCTCCATTGCAGCGCCACTCTCTGCTGAGGTGGACAGAATCGAGAATGTAAACACGTATTTGGCTCCAAATCCTTCGTATATCGAAGAAGGGTGGCTATTATATATCCCCATGGAAAAATGTGGGATTCCTAATCCAAATAAACGTGGAGAATTTTTTTATTTTTTTTTTGTTTTGTCTGAGGTTGATTTGTGATCATGTCCTTGATTTTTTTTTTTCAACTTTTTTTATAGGGGCAAAGAAGAAGATGCATAAATGGATGATAATAGTTGGGATATTATCGTGTGTGACAATACTTACCGTGTGCACCTTGGCGATAATCCTGCTCAGAAGAAACAAAAACCGAAAACGAATAGTCGAAGATCCAAAAGCTTTCTCCAAGAACTCAAGCACAAAGAGTCATTCCCTTAAGAAACAGTACACTTCTAGAGAAAAAATGGAAGGTTAGAATAGTCTTTTTCGTATTTTACTCGAAAAAAAAACTTAAAAATAATCATCTTATATAATGATAAAAAACAGATATAACAGGCTTTGAATCGGAGAAACCGACGTATTACAATATCGAAGAGGTTGCAGATGCTACAAACGACTTCGACGAAGCTAGAAAAATCGGGCAAGGTGGTTATGGAAGTGTTTACTATGGTGTTCTTGGAGGACAGGTACATATACATATACATATATATATCTATATGTATATATATGAGTGGAAATATCACCCGATAATTATTACCGTTTTCGAAAACATTAGGAGGTTGCGATAAAAAAGATGAGATCGAACAAGTCAAAGGAGTTTCTTGCTGAGCTCAAGGTGTTATGCAAGATACATCATATTAATGTGGTGAGCAAAATTTTAAAATTAATCATCTGAGTTTCAATCTAGCGTGGAGAGGCGCACGTTACTTACGGTACGGACCACACGTTATAGGTGGAGCTGTTGGGCTATGCCAGCGGAGACGACCACCTCTACTTGGTTTACGAGTACGTGCACAACGGCTCTCTCAGTGAACATATTCATGATCCATTACTCAAAGGTACAATATTTTTTCTTCTTTTTTTTTTTCTTTTTTTTTATTGGTCGAACATTTTTTTACGTGTGATTATAATTGACGAATAGGTCACGATCCGCTGTCGTGGACTGCAAGAACACAAGTTGCACTTGATTCTGCAAGGGGTATTGAGTACATACACGACCACACGAAATCTCGATACGTGCACCGTGATATTAAAACGACTAATATCCTCCTCGATCGAGGGCTTAGAGCAAAGGTATATATATTTTATTTAATGTTATGTGTTCTTGATAAAAAAGAAAATTAAATGCAATGATAATTAATAATATTGACAGGTTGCAGATTTTGGATTAGCTAAGCTAGTTGGTCGAACTAACGAAGACGAGCTATTAGCGACTCGGCTGGTCGGAACACCGGGATATCTTCCTCCCGAGTAAGCATTACTAAATTCAATTAAGTGATAATTAACATCATTAAATTAGTGATTAATTAATTTTATTTATTTTTTGGGAAGGTCTGTAAAAGAGCTGCAGGTGACTATTAAGACGGACGTTTTCGCGTTTGGAGTTGTTCTTGCGGAGCTAATAACCGGACAACGTGCGCTCATACGAGACGTTCACGAACCGAATAAGATGAAATCACTTATCACAGTAGTAAGTTAAATTTAATTTAATTTATTTTTAGCATAGAACATATTAATTTTTTTCGACAATGATATATTTATGTTCGTTTGTTTTTTTTTCAGATAAATAATATGTTCAACGACGAAGATCCGGAGTTGGCAATGGAATCCATTGTAGATAGAAATCTGAAAGGCAATTATCCTCCGGAAGATGTGTACAAGGTTCGTATGTACAAAAAAAAAAAATCAAATTACAGTAAAACCTCAATAAATTAATAATTTCGCTTAAATAATAGTTTCTTGAGGTCCCGACTCGATAAAAACCAACTAAATTATCAGTTCAATGATTTAATATTTCGCTAAATTAATAGAAGTTTACTAGCCCGACGGTATTAATTTATAGAGGTTTAACTGATGTATTATTCATCGTATATATATAAATATTTCGGTACTGAAGGTGGCGGAAATTGCACAATGGTGCTTAAGCGAAGAGGCGATAGACCGGCCGGAAATGAGTGAAGTAGTGGTTGCGTTAACTCGTATAAGAATGACGTCGATCGAATGGGAAGCTTCGCTTGGCGGTAGCAGCCAGGTTTTTAGTGGAGTTTTCAGTGGCAGATGAAATTTTTTCTGCCATTGTATGCAAATTGCAATATAAGCTATATTACAAACTCCTCTTGTTTCTTGTTTTGTGTGTGGTGTTTTTAAGGTTGTAGGAAATATTTCAGTTGTATGCATGTATAATGAGTTTATTGCATTTAGTACCCGTGTGTAAATTGCATTTGCGTGATTCCCCCGTGATAAAAAAAAATAGCAAGAACCTCCCCTGTACTAATTTTTTAGGTTTCACACTCGTTCCATTTATCTTTTGCCGGCTGACCAACTTTGAAAAGATGAAAAAGCCCTTCGGTTATTAACACACACACTTGGGTTATTACTATATAAATTTAACAATAATTGGAAAAAATGGAGGAATTTTCAAGAAATTTATGTTTCCTGCTTCATGTTAATTTCGATTAAGATAGCCAAGGCAATTAATTATAAAAGGAAAAAAAATAGCAATTATACTAATTAATAATAAATATCACTTTGCCTCCCATACTTGGGCTGTTTTTGTATTATGCCCCCCCAACCCAAACATTTCAATCTGTGTAACTTATTCTAGGGTAATTGGCATTTTGCACCCTCCAATTGTGCTCATTTTGCACTTTGCACTCTAAATTAAAAATATGGTAGATAGCACCCTCAAATTAAGATTTGTTTGGCACATTGTACCCCAAGACACTTTTCTGCAAAAAATTGTGTACGAAAAAATGATTTTACCATAATTTAATGGGCAAAATGGTCAATTATTGTTAATTACATCCATGAACGAGGAAGAACATAAACATTTCCTGTAATTAAGAAGGTTGGTAGTGAATTTATTCACAAATTTACCCTTTCATTTCCCCCAAAATCCTTTTATTCTACTACTTTTATGCTCTATAGTGCACTACGCCAAGTACTAAATCTTAACTTGAGGGTGCAACCTGCCATATTTGTAATTTAAGGGTACAAAGTGTCAGATGAGCATAATTGCAGGGCGCAAAATGCCAATTACCCCTTATTTTACGAGTTGAAACACGGGCTTAATAAAAAAGCCCAATTACATGGTAATTAAACGGGCCATAATTTGGGCCCGTTAACAAATTTCAACCTTCTATTTTCAGCAAAACACCTTCTAATTCGTCTGCAAATTTTTTTCTTTTCCTTGAAAAATCAAAGGAATCGCGAACAAAAAAGCGTTCTCCAGAAACGACGAAGACGAAGCCCTTTTGCAACTAACATTCAAATTGATCGGCCAAATGAGCAGTAGATCTCACCAACCACCAACTGCATCCACTCTCGATCTATGATCTCCGCTTCCAATTGAATCGAAAGATCGAAGAATCAGTTGATTCAGAGGAGAGGAAGATATGGCAGGAGCAGCTTCGGCGCTGTTCCTACTGGATATTAAGGGTAGGGTTCTCGTGTGGCGCGATTACCGTGGTGACGTCACCGCCGTGCAAGCCGAGCGCTTCTTCACCAAGCTAATTGAGAAAGATGTTAGATTTCGTTATTATTTCATTTTTATCTATTTTTTATTTATTTTAGATGTGATCGATTATCTGGTTATAGTTATGAGTTGCATTGTTCTTCATTAAGATCCAATTAAAAAAAAAGGAAAAAGAAATTAGCATATTTTCTCATTTGAAGATAGTGTCTTTTGCTGAAATTTATGTTTTAGGAAGTCTGAGAAAATGGTAATATGATTATTAAGACAGTAAACGATAACCCTAGATAACTCTTAGTTGCCTTGGCCCTTGTGTGTTTTTATTTTCGTCGAGTTTGCAGTGGGTCGAATCGAGAAATAACGGGGCTTTCCATCTTGTAATGATATAGGGTGATCCAGAGACACAGGATCCTGTTGTGAACGATAATGGGGTTACGTATATGTTTATACAGCACAACAATGTGTATCTCATGACTGCATCGCGGCAAAACTGCAATGCTGCTAGCCTCCTTCTATTCCTTCACCGTGTTGTTGACGTAAGCGTTGTTGACAATCGAACACTTGTCCTTTCATGATATTGATGTTAATTTCGTTAATAATAAATTTGTTGTTGGATTTTTTTGTGACAGGTGTTCAAACACTACTTTGAAGAGTTAGAAGAGGAATCGCTTCGGGATAATTTTGTTGTAGTGGTATGGGAGATTTGCGTATTTCTTTCGCTTTGAATTGTTTCAAACATAATTTTGATTGTAGTATTTTACAACCGATGCCTTGTCCCTCTCCAGTACGAGTTACTTGATGAAATTATGGACTTTGGCTACCCACAATATACTGAAGCGAAGATTCTTAGTGAGTTCATAAAGACTGATGCTTATCGAATGGAAGTTACACAGAGGCCTCCAATGGCTGTCACTAATGCAGTGTCGTGGCGCAGCGAAGGCATACGGTACAAGAAGAATGAAGTAAGTTTTTCTCAGATGGCCGTTTGATGATTAGTTGATTAATCGCTGAATTGTGAGCTTCTATTTGCTGTCCAGGTATTTCTTGATGTTGTGGAAAGTGTCAACATACTAGTAAATAGTAATGGCCAGATAATTAGGTCAGATGTTGTTGGCGCATTAAAGATGCGAACATACTTGAGGTTTGTTCTCGATATTCTTTACTATTTCCTGCATTATTTTCTATAAAACAAGGGAAATAAATTCTGGATACGTTATCTGTGGCAGTGGTATGCCTGAGTGTAAGCTTGGGCTGAACGATAGAGTTTTGCTGGAGGCACAGGGGCGCGCTACTAAGGGAAAAGCCATTGATCTGGACGACATCAAGTTTCACCAGTACGTCATTGATATTCAGAATAGTTCGTAATATGTGATTGTTGATTGAAGATAAAAATATCTGATGCAAATCTAGTTTACTGTGTAGAAGTGCATATTCACGCGTAAGATTGTTTTTATGAATGTGCCTTCACTGGTCTTATTCTGCTCGATTTCTGGTTTACTTGTTCAGGTGTGTGCGCTTGGCTCGATTTGAAAATGACCGTACAATATCCTTCATACCTCCTGATGGATCCTTTGATCTCATGACATACAGGCTCAGCACTCAGGTAAGATTTGTAAAATTTGTGGCTCACTTAATGCCGTTTCTCTTGTTTGCTTTCTGTTATGGATTTACTTGTGAGGTTTTCATTATGCGTGTAAAAAATGTATTTTTGAACCATATTATAAATTCTTCCATTCTGGGAAATCGACCAGTTAGTCACCGAGGGCATAGTTTTGTTGTTTTTCAGGTAAAACCTCTTATATGGGTAGAAGCTCAGGTAGAAAGACATTCCAGGAGCCGAATAGAATTTACAGTAAAGGCGAGGAGTCAGTTCAAGGAGCGTAGGTATGTTACGTAACTGCTTTTATTTGCATTGTTGCTTCATTTTCTACAACGCCTGCAATATAGTTTGTAAATCTCGTGATTCATTAATAAGGCAATGAAAATTTCAGCACTGCTACAAATGTGGAAATTGAGTTGCCTGTGCCACCTGATTCTACAAATCCCAACGTTCGTACATCAATGGGGTCCGCTTCTTATGCACCAGAAAATGACGCATTGGTTTGGAAAATAAAATCTTTCCCAGGTGGCAAGGTACGGGTTCGTTGGTCTGCACGCACGTTTATATGTGGTTTTTGGATATTTATTTTTGCTTTATTGATTTTTGCAGGAATATATGTTGAGAGCTGAGTTTAGGCTTCCCAGTATAGAATCTGAGGAATCTGGTCCTGAAAGAAAGGCTCCTATACGAGTCAAGTTTGAAATACCGTATTTTACCGTTTCAGGAATACAGGTGATAGAATTGGCCATTCACCTACTAGGGAGCAATTTTTTAATGTTAAATTTTTTTTTTTTTTTTCGTATTACTGATTGAAATTTCACCACCTTGGATTATTTGTAGGTTCGTTACTTGAAAATCATTGAAAAAAGTGGGTATCAAGCACTTCCATGGGTGAGATATATAACAATGGCCGGTGAATATGAACTCAGACTTGTTTGATCGCACTACTCCGATAAATTAGCTCATTAACCGAGGAAGATGCACGCACGTATTATGTATCTATCATCTGGCCCTGCTTGAAGAGGTTAGGCTGTAGGGAAAATCATTATCGTCGTCCAAGTTCTACTTCTGCTTCTATCATGATGCCACCAAATTCATTTGCTGTATTTTTTTTTCTTTTCTTTTCTTTTTTTTTTTTCGTTTTTTTCAAACGCAAGTTTTTGGAATGAGATAAATTTGTGAGTGCCTTGTACAAAACCTGATACTATACTTCTGAATATAAATTTGGTTGTTAAGAAACTAACTTGTCGAGAGTTTTGTCGATCGTGGCATTGATAGAAAGAATCGTGTTTCTGTTTGTTTACTTCATTTTAAATTTATCAAAACAACCAGTTCCTTGACATTTTAGTGCTAGTTTAGTTAATTTTTTTGTCTTGAGAAAATTAATATTATTTTTTGTCAGCTGCATAATTATTTTTAATGAATCTTTCTTAATTATTTGCAAAGTCATGTACTAGTTTCAATTTTCTCTATTTTTTATTTATTTCTTCAGTTCAGTTTCCTTTTAATCTCCCAATAAAACAAAAATATAACTTAGAGTCAGGATCCTTTTTTCTTTTCTTTTTTTTGTATCTTAATTAAAATAATATAAATAAATTAATTTATATATATATATATATATATATATATATATATATATATATATATATATATATATATAT